ATGGACCTGAACAACCACTATGGCAAAGTGCCGGTGGTGGTTCCCACATCCTGGAGATACGGGAACCAACGAATACCAGTCATTCCACCATCTGCCAGCTCGTCCTTCCAGTAAAGGTAATCACAATCAAACCCGCGGCGTCTGCAATTGCCAGCGGGCAGAACGAGCTGAGGAGTTTGGAGATCAAAATATGACGTGACCCCCCCCCCAACAGAGAGAGACTCTCCAAATTCCACTCAGTGAAATTAAAATGATCTCAAACAGCTAAATTTAAGGCTTTTAGCATGATCAAAAAATAAAATCAATCAAGAAATTCAACGCTCGAACGTTCAACCGTTTCCGAAACCCAAAATCTTGATCAAAGGTCCTGTAGTAATTTGTATAGTTCAAAAGCTACAGCGGAACTCAAACAACAATTGATTAGACCGACTGTTTAAGCAATAACAGCTGTTTTGAACACCTTAATCAATTTGACTTGCCGTGACCGCTCTGTTTTGGTAATGTGTACGAGTGACTCCATTTGGTCAATTTGCAAGATCAATATTGAAGTAAACCGGCCTAAATACGGTCTTAAAACAAAGCATCTGTTAGACCAGACTGGGTCTGAAATTTCTGGTTCTGGAGTTTTTGATTTCTATCTAGGTTGACCTATATTGGCATCACTTTAGTGTGACCTCAAACAACCAATTACAATGTTTTCATTGAACCCCCCCCCCCCCCCCAAAAAAAAGCCCCATTTCAGTTCATTGTGTGTTTTTAAAGTATTATTGCCGGAAAAGACGTAAAGACAGCTTTAAAATTTTAGACCATGAAGTTAAGATTCCTGAAAGGTTTAAAATTCAGCATACGCATTTTGACATTGATGCATTATGGGTATTTTTTCCCCCCAAAGCCATATACACCGTTTATGTGCTTATTTTACTGGAAACAGTAAATCAGTCGGCATGAATTCAGCAGTTATTACCTGTATGAGGGCAGAGAAGCAGAAGGAGGCGAGTCACAGGTGAGAAATCCTGCCCCGGGTGCCATTGACAGTGGACGCCATCTCTCCCCTGGTGGGGGGGGTTTCTAATATTATCTGGACCGCTGCTGACACGGAAGGCTGTGAAGTGAGCGACCAATAAGTCAAAGTTGGTGTCTGTCTTGGTCTTATTTTTAACGAGGAGCAGCTGAGATCTACGTAAAAGCACGACTGAGCCGCGGCGTCCTGTGTTATGGCGTGTGGCGCAGTAAACCGTGCATTTTTAGTCGTGCGTAGCTGTGCATTTTTCGCAGCGCCGAGGGCATGGCGATCCAGCGGGAGTCACAGGGACGCTACACCATGCACAAACCCCAGTGCCCAGCCCCCCCGTTTCACACTGTCCTGTGAGGACCCTCCCCATGTCACTTGCTGCCTGTGTGTTGCACCATGGACACGAGGGACATTCTTGCACACTGCTATGTACATGTATATGGATTATATCACAATAAAGCCCACTGGACCTTAGATATATATGGTAGGATGTTCCTGTGCCCCAGTCGAACGCATGGAACGATGGGAGACACAGGAACACCTGACCAGACTGCTGCTATTAAGACTGTGATACTGACACAGAAATGTTACTTAGTCATGCAAAATTTTAAAAATGATCAGGAACAGGCCTGGTTTCAGCCTGACTGAACAAGGGAGAGACGACCTAAGATTTCTGATGGACATCAAAAAAAATCTTGTATTTATTTTTTTATCTGATACTTCGACACACATGAGAAAATGTTATGGGGGGAGCAAATAACCAAATTTCTTAAAGGTGAACATACGATGAAGAATTCATTTTGCTAATACTAAGAGGAACTTCACACTACTTTGGGTGGAATTCCCCTGTAACACACCCAACGAGATAAGATCACTTTAGTCACCGACATAAAGCCTGTGGCACTTCCCTGAAGGGATGTTAAGTTAAACTCAAAAGTTGCAAAAAAAAAAAAAAAAAAGCCAGCGAAAATAACGACACAGCTGTTAAGCGGCAGCTTACAGTCGCCCAACGCCAGCCGTGTGAAAAATTCTGTGGCGTTTTGGTTGGCCAACGGCGGCAGACACGCGCTTCGGTGGTAACAGATGGGGCGCGATCCTTCATCACCCCTATATATCACTGCCCTGCTAAATCCGGGGCGCCGTGAACGTCGCTAGTGAGACGCGTCCACTCACCGGCCGGCCCTTAATCACTAACCAGGAGTTTAATTGTGAACACGTGAACCAGACTGAAAGCACACTGGTTTCATTATTATTGATGTAGGAATATTCGACGGCCTCTTGGCTGTTCCGTTGATATGTATGTGCCGGACGGGTCAGCGCCGCCACTGTTATATCGGTTCCGATGTCACGGTGTCCTTCAGGAGGTCCAGAGGTTTGGGTCCTTTCCTGTAGCTTCCGGGACCATTTTCACACAGAAACCCCTCCCCATCCCAAAAAATATGAGTGCTTGAACGTCCAGCAACGAGGGCTGGGAGGTTTTGTGGGGGGGGGGGGGGGGTTCCCTACACACACACACACACACACACATACACACATCCACGCGTGCGCACGCCGGGTGGGCAGATTAGGCGGGGTGTAGAAACACCCCCCCTCTGCAGTGAAACAGGCAGATGGCTCCCGACTCCCCCCACCCCCACTAATCCAGCCCTCAGACCCCCCCCCCCCTCCCCAGCACCTGACCACGGCGCTCAGCACATTATCTGCATTGTCCTTACGCTTACAGAAAGGTGGGGGGGGGGAACACATGAAAAGGAAAGTGTTACAAACATAACAGGCTGCTTAGATTGAACCAGAGAGGACGGTAATACGGTGAACGGATCCCGTTTCAGGCCCATCTTTAAACATCTGCTATTTGAGGCTATTGTTACCATATGGCCGAAACGTGGGGAGAGAGCCCAGCTGTGTTGGGTTACGCTGACAATCGGAGGTCGGGCAGCGTTCGCACGAGACGCGCTGCAGTGGCGACGGCCTGGCTGTCCCGGACCGGACCCGACCCCCAGGCCCCTGGGTTTCCAGCCAGACCGGGTCTCTCCTTTAGTTCCGAGGCAGAACTGGAGTTCCGGCTCGGATGGTGAAACCCCGCTTCTGCATGCGCGCGGGGGGGCCGACGGCCGCATTATTCACGTGCGGCGTGGCGGGGGTCATGCACCAGCGATGTCCGTTCCGCGTGGGGATCCGCGGCGGTTAGATGCCGAGGCCGTCCCTCCTGCCAAAGGAGTCGGCTGGCGTGAGGTGCGCATGTTCCGAGCCGTGCGCCGAGACGAGCCTGACGTGCAGGGAACCGCAGAAATGCAGCAGCTACAATAAGGGGATGACTGCGATATGAGAAGAATTTCAGGGTCAGGGTAAGTACTTAGGCTGCCAGACCACAGGGACCTAATGATTTCTCAGAACTTCTGCTCAACCATTTATCCAGCCCTTCAGCAGCCAGCCTCACCCCCCCCCCCCCCCCCCCCCCCCCCCCCACCCCACCCCATTATCTGCCAAGTTCCCTGGAGAAACGGCAGATCCTCCATAACTGAGGCCCCATCACACAGCAGACCCCGGATGCCACGTGCCAAACATCTCTTTCGTCCATAAATACGTCATGTCGTTGCATGTATCACCTGCAATGGCTTTGACAGACCAGTAGGAAGGTGATCCCCTCTTCGGACATGTCCTCCTGCGGCTCCAGCACGCCCATATCTGACAGGAACTGCAGAGTCTACCAGGGGAACCACCTGAATCCAGGTGATCACCAGCAAGCCCACGTAAACAGAGATGCCCCCATTTTCTGTCATAATTCAGCCGCTCTGGCTCACCGAGGTCCTCCTCCTCATTGCCAGAGGATCCAATACAGGAATCATCTAAGCCACACTGCATGCGTATACCATTCAAAAATGTAATGGGAGACAGAAAGGAATTAACCCTAAATTTCTCTCCAGTATTGCCTGTCCCATACAACCAGCTCAGTTTCCGCATGTGAGCGTCACTGGATTCAAGCGGAAGGCTCAGAACTTGCGATCCAAGATCACAGGCAGCCCAGCTTTTCCAGCCCACGATGATCAAAACTCTACCGGTCGTGCCTGTTCTTCCGCTCCACTTCCACTACCAGCAACCCATACTCAACCAGGGAGAAACCTGCTTCCAGGAAGAGACCAGGTGACCCAGACTGGGGTGGCACAGATCTTTGAACTTCAAGCCCCAAATCAGTAGCGCACATGACGGGTGGACACGAACCAGCAGGTAACGCTGTCATTCCAGGTGACTGGATCTCTGGTCTCCCTCAGAGCCTTCCTGTCCGCGGGGAAACGTACCGACTCCCCTCCAACCCCAACTCGACAGCTGTTACAGTTTTATTAACTAGTTTGCACTCTCCCTGGAAATAACTTTAACTTAAAGCCAAAAAAACACACAATAGACATGAATATGCGTGCGAACGCGCATCTACATAACGATGTAACACTGAAGACAAAGATCCGCGTCCCGGCGCAAACCGAGCATCCAACAGCCCCCCACCATGCTCATCGGGAGAGCAAATCCGTCCGCCGAACAAGCCAGCCTTTGGCCCCGGCTCCCAAAATAGCAACCTCTCTCTTTTCGCTTTCTTTTTCTCTTTTTTTCTGTTTAGCGCAGGCAGGGCAGCTGCGGAGGCTCCGCACACACTGGCGCACAGAGGCGCCCCGGCACACGGCACCTATTCAAGCGGCTCGCATAAACAAAGATGCTCTGTGTCGGACACGGGGAAGGACGGGCTGGGGGTGCGCTGGGGG